AGTGTTAGCATAGTGCATAACGTGTATACACTATACATAGAGCGTTATTTTTGTCAGTCTGTAAATGGCGATCCTGTTTATACCAATAAAACGATGAATGAAGTATAAACATGTATTACTTTTTTTTATGAATGAAATGTGTTCCTAAAACATCGAAATGTGTCCCGGGAGCGGGGGACGCGATTTCTCGGGGGCCGGGCAGCGAAGCCCCGGGAGCAGGAAGGGGGGTCCCCGTAGTGGGTGCAGTGGGGTCCCGAGAACGGGAACAGCAGGGCCCCGGGAATGGGAGCAACGAGTCCCGGGAACGGGAGCAACCGGTTCCGAGAGCGGGGCGGGTTTTGGCCGGGGGGGGTGTGTAGTACCGGCATGTCCGACCCGTACACGGCGAATTTCCGCTGCCGTGTGGAGAATAATTAGGTGATAATTGCCGCTAAATTATGCATATTCCAGCAACGCACGGAGCGGTGCACGGCCATTTCCTGCCGTGTACGGGGATGTACAGGGATCGTGTCCGGGCATATAACGTCCAGTACACGACCTGCACACAAAAAGTGGTTCATTTCCGGGAGTGTACAGGACATGTACGGGACTGGACACGTTTCGTGTGCAGGTCGGAAACCCCCGGGTTCTACCGGAAACCTAAAATATCCGGGAAAGTGTGCGGCAATTTCTCACACGGAAACTAGGGATTTTGTGCCGTGAGATGTGACATTCCATGGTGTCCGCAGGAAAGAAGAAGGGGTTTGCATCACACACGGTGGTGGTCAGGGTTTCTACACTCCAGACTACCAGCCCATCATTGCTGACTCGAACAGGTATGTCTTGTTGTAGGCCTCGGTAGGTGACGTCGGCACTGTCAAGTGGACACATTGCAATATTTTACCTAAACAAATCCAATGCGGTTGTCTGTCATTAAAATTACTACTGGGTACGAAAGTATTGTTTGGGGTGGCGTGCAGGGAGGTTTGTATGTATCCTGTCTCATGGCCACGGTTGCGAGAGGATGGGAAGCTGGTTTGGGCAGTTTTTTTTTTTTTTATTCCAACATGCAATCACCAGACGTGGTGACGGCACACTCAAGTTTTTTCAACCTATATTAATGCCGACACCAACACAGGGGACAAATACATGACAGGACAATACTCATTTACACCTGAGCTAAGTGAGGAAAGCCGTGTAAAGTGCCTTTCCCAAGGGCACAAGATCGGTGGCATGTCAGGACTCGAACCCGGGACTCTAAGTTCCGAGTCGCGTACACTGCCGCTACGCCACACGACCCCACACAATTGATTGGGCAGTTGATTAATAAGGTGACTGGCAGACCACAGAACAAGAGGAGACAGAGGAATGAAATGAGATTGAAGGTCACAGAGTTTGGTAGCTATAGAGAGCCATGGCCAAAGGACAGAGACTAGATGTCGATATGTAAGGGAGGTGGCCATTATAACCGGCACAGATTCTATCCCCTGGAGTGAGTTTAGAATATAGCCTGGTATCCAGCCTTGTTAGCTTTAGTCCGCTGCCCGGCGGGTAGCGGATCTTGGGTAGCGGACTTAAGCTAACAAGGCTGGATACCAGGCTATTTAGAATAATCTACACCATACCATTTACTCGGTTGTTAAAAAAAAAATAGTAAAACCACAAATATTTTCGGAAGTCTAACATGTCCGATTTCTTCTTGTCTTTTTGTTACCTAGACTCCAGCAATGATTGGTAGGAAATATTAACTTAAAGGTTATGCAAAATAATATTCAACATGTATTAACTTTAATTCAATTAGGTTAATTGAGCTTAAGAAGGACTACGTACTTTTTTTTCACCGTGAATGTCGGTGTCCAAATCCTGCTACCCAGAACGCTGTGGGTCTTGACGCCACCAAAGTACCTTGGATTCCATGTCAGACGACTGTCCCGCCATTTCTAAAGCAAATATCAATTTATGGCCACAGCAAGTAATGTTTATGGATGACATCAACGCGCGCATTAATTTTCGCCTGATTTTGGAAAAAAAAAACAAGAAATTTTGTTGCCTTCTGACAGTAGTCAACATGCCAAAAATGGGCAGAGTTGTCTGCTGCCATGCCGGAAGGTGGATGGCAGATAACTATGAAGAGAGGAGACAATGTTTCTAATGTTTTGCTTCTAACTTTGATACAGTAATATGTGATTCTGGCTGTGTATATGTGATGTTCCCACTGAATCAAAACCATTTGTACAATGATTGAGTCAAAATTTTAAAATGCAGGAACCTTGTTTTTTCGGCCCGTCTTGGGTTTTTTTTCACCCGCTTGCATTATGTTTGGAGTCTGTGGAGGATGTCATCCATAAAATTTACTTGCTGTGGCCTATTGTCCAAATAAAAATAACAATGGATTTTCTTCAAGGTCTCTTAAGGACGAAATTGTGTAGAATTTTTACACAACCTGCGTTTTGGTTCTATAACTTTATCAACTTACGAAATCAATGACAACAGAGGTGACAAGCTGCTCGTTCTTTTCATCCTGGAACAAAATAAAAAAATGGATTAAAATCCAGTTTTGCCAAGATTATTTATCCTTAAAGTTGGTGGTAAACAATAGGTATCTAAGCATGAAAGTTCATCTGTGTTGGTACAAATCATTATGAAATAAAGACTGAACTTTAACTTCCAACACTAGATACAGAATTGGGACTTACCCCAAATTTTCGGTTGACTTCATCAACCTTGTTCACGGAATGGACCCGTCTACTCTTGGAACGTGACGTCAGAGACACGTGACCGTAGTAGCGGGTCATACGTGCCAGATAAGAGCTCACAGACCTACCCTGAACAGAGACGGGAGGCGACACAAGTTATCTGGCACGTATGACCCACTACTACGGTCACGTGTCTCTGACGTCACGTTCCAAGAGTAGGGTCCATTCCGTGAACGAGGTTGATGGAGTCAACCGAAAATTTTGGGTAAGTCCCAATTCTGTATCTAGTGTTGGAAGTTAAAGTTCAGTCTTTGTTTCACAGCAGGTATCTAAAATGTATAGCAGCCATAGTACTTACCAAGTTGACAATCTGCTCTACAGATCCGTTGAAGACGATGGTGATGTTCTCAGGGGCCAAACCTGCACCGTAGATCTCTAGCACCTCTTTTTGCAACCTTCGTTTATGATCAACTAACAAAAATAAAATAAATGTCAATCGTTATGATGGCAATAGTTGACAGGCTAATGGATAAATTCCAATCATCCATGGTCTTGCTGTACGCACATCAAAAGATCAAGAATATAAAATTAAAAAAATCAGTCCAATTGTTGAAAAGAATGTTACAATAGATTTTGCTCGGCTCTACAATTGGCTTAGGGCACAGAATGAAGCTTATTAGCTGGCTGAGAATTTACGTACATGTTTTCGAAGGGTGCGTTATTGGAGAACTAACTTGCTAATTTTGCTAACGGAAGTTAAATAACAGCCGGGCGTTTTTGTCTGTTATCTGTTATGGAAATCCGCCAATTGCTTAGCCCATGTTAAAAAAAATAGGTTTTGTTGTTGAATTGGCTAAAAGATTTGTAGCCTTTTTTAAACCTTACTTGAACAACCGGGCTTGTCGTATTCCCAAGTACCCTCTTCCGTGCACCTTACTTCCCTGGTGTATCCTGCCTCCAGGGTGTAACCCTCGTTGCACGTATACGTAACTCCTTCTCCCACGTGATAGAACCTTTTCTTTGGACTCCTCTTGCCGTAGTTTGGAGGACCTCTGTCCCTGCAGACATTCTCATCTGTGTGTGGTAGTAGGGGGGGGGGTAGTCGGATCTTAGTCACAAACCAAGAAAGCCTACGTATAAAGTGCATAATTGACGATAATTAAAACATAAATCAAGTAAACGGCTGCTTTCAAACCAACTTTCAAAATATTATCTTTAACGAAGTAATTAGTCTTCTTGATAGGTTAACTTACTGCATGGGATGATGTCACATTCCTCCTGGCTACCGTCTTGAGTTAAGCAGAATGGCCGATCGAGACCGGCAGGGTTGCGGCAGTAATTGTTGTCCAGGTTAGCCCAGGAGTACTCATCGCTGTTATAATCAGTTGACCAGTCCATACAATCTACGCCGGATGCTGTTTTAGACGAATTTCCGCGGTAGTTCTTTCCATTGCCATGGTAGCAAACTGAGGTAGACAATAAAAATGAAATAGCTAATGAAATTACTGATTTTATCAATCATTAAAATGATAATCAATGTTTAATGTGGTCTCAAGAAGTGGGACGCCATGACAGAAGGCAGACACATCGGTAGGTGACGAATCCAGGCGCAGGCGAGAAACCGAAAAGCAACAAGACAAATTTCGACGCTTATATGAGGGGGAGAAACAATTCAGTACAAAGAGTAACTGGATAGAATACATGTCAATTGTCACTCTTTATACGTTAAGATACCATCAGGCAACGGAAAAAATCGACTGAAATGGCCGCCTTAAACACTATAAAATGTGTCAGTTTACCTTCGTCTGCCTTCTTAGTTGGTTCAGGGTTCCAACAGCCGTCCTGTGATGTTGGAAACAGCTCACATGGAGGAAACAGGTCCTGTATTTGGGCATCAGCCTTGTTGAACACTTCCTCACACCACGAGCGGCACGGTACCAGTTGTGAACCCCTAGGAAATAAGGCCATGTTTAAGTGAAGTCACCCGAGGCGCTTTACATGTGGTTTACCCCGAAGCCGGTTTCAAGTGGCTCCATCTGAACGCTCCGAAATCACATTGAAAGCGCCTCGATCCCGAACCACTTCTAGAGGTGGTTTCGAATCGGTTTTCCCGCATCGCGATTTGCGTCTGAACGCAATGTGATTTCAATGTAACGTCGCCTGGTCATGGATGACGGGGTGACATTTCTTTATCTATATGCAATACCAATTTTTACGTGGCAGCAACTTAAAGAGCAGTAATGGTCAACTAATGTGTCCGTTCTAGGACGAGCTTCACCGCCTCTGGCGGGACCACGTCGGCATTCGGCCGAGATACGCTGGGAGGGGGGCACCAGCAAGCAGGTCGTTGACCTCTGACGTTAATAACACACCACCTTGCGTGTTTTCATCAAACAACAATAAATGTAGCTCAAGCGAATTGTGATCGGACACGGTTTCACCAGATGTGAGGAATGTGAGTTACCCGAATCGCGGTTTGGGTGATTTCACTTAAACACGGCTAAAGCGACATTGCACCTGTAGTTACTTACGTGCATAATGTGGTGTTGTCTGCACCTGGAGACGGAGGGCAATGACTTGAGCTCTCCTGAGAGACACTGCAATTTGGGAAAATGACTCTAGCTACGAAGTCTCCTAATTCCGGATGGTAGTTCTCTCCGATGCCGTCAGAAATGTTGAGCAGTTCCTGGACAGAAGAAGTCAACATTGCCTCAAACGTCTCCTGTCCAAGTTGGTTCGGTAGCATTGTCAGCCTGTTGTTTGGGCGAAAACCATCGGGAATAGACAGGCACACTGAAATTTAGAACAGGCAGATCCAACATATCTTAATATGTCAAAAGTAATGGAGGGAGTTAGTTATTTAAGCTATGATATGATAAACATTGGTTCAGCTTACATTTTCATTTAAATTTGAAGACATGTCAATTAAGAGAGTACTTTAATAATTGCCAACTAAGAGTATTATGGTTTCTTCTGATTTGGTAGCTTCCCTAGCTATTTAAAGAATATAATGGATATTCCAGCTGAAAATATAAAAAGGTTTGTTCAGTGACTGTTTGATCATTTCTAATGAGGTAAGGATGGCGTGGCTAAATAGCACTGAATAAATCTGCCCTTATGACACACATAGAACCGTCCCTATCGGTACAGATCAACTTATTTTGGTTACAGCTTTGTGGTTCTCAAAATATGTCTTTCTAGGCTGACAAAAGAAACTGAATTCTTAAAGTGCTTTACTACACTTCAAGAAAAAAAAAACTTACACATCACTACTGTGAATATCTACACAAAACGATAGCAATGGTGAAAATAAATGTTAATACAACCACATGTGGCCTAGATGCAAATGGGTTATACAAGTAATATTCTGAGTGTACAGGTATACTGGACTTTTTTTTTAACGGTGTCGCTCAATGGCAATGCAAAGCCAATTATATTTGGCCACTTCTAGGCATAGAGCTAGAGGTGCTTAAGTGAGTATAATGTAGTTATGTCAGGAGATGGCGGTGGACCTTTGTTTTAAAGCTTTGTGGATTGTAGTCGGACGGAAAGCAGCTGTTTGGGAGAGAGTTCCATAATTTTGCAGTCCGGGGAAAGAACCTGTTGTTGTAAAATGACTTTGAGACAGGTATGTTGACGGTGTATTGATGAGAACTGGAAGAGAACCTAGTGGCACGCTGAAAGGTTCTGAGCGGCGGAACAAGAAGTGCAAGTTCTCCTGAACATCGACCGTGAAAGTATCTGTAGAAGAGAGATAGGGATGCGACATTGCGTCTGTGTGAGACTCACTGAGAGGGAATCCAGCTTTGCGGCCAGAGAATGGCCGATGGCAACACAGATTCTCCTTTGAATGTGGTCTAAAATATGAAGGCGATCTTTTGGGGCCACCAGCCCAGAGATGCGAGCAATACTCCATGCAAGGACGGATGGTGGATTTGTACAGATACAAAATACTTGCAAAATACTTACCACAATCTTTCTCGTCACTACCGTCTGAGCAGTCCGCATGCCCGTCACAACGCTGCCATGATAAAATACACTTGTCTCTGGATGCGCAGCGGAAGTACCCCAGGGAACAGTGGACCTCTATGTGGGTCAAAACTTAATTTGTAATTTCACCTTCAATGCATTATTATGTAGTTTGGCAGAATATGTGTTCCCAGGTAAAAGTAAACCGGAATTTCAAGACCCAAAGTAAGTTAAAGATATACTTGTAGAAGATTAAAAATCTTAACTAGAGAGAGGCTCAGTTGCAAAAATATATTCATTTTGCAACAATATATTTCTCCTTCTTCCTCCCCATTTACAAACGGAATGTTTAATATCAATATTTTGCAAAAAAATTAATCCATTACTCGCCTTACCAAACAACACCGTAATATGATTTTCTTACTTTAATATGATACATGTATTATGACTCCCTAGAATGCCATTGTAACGGTTATGAATATTGTAATTAGGGTAATATGTAAATGACCATGTGAAAAGACTTGTTATAGAGATTATACACATATTTGCGCGTTAGGTAGGCACTGATTGGTTGGTGAGAGCAACCAATCAGGTTAGGGAATATTGTGAACAGAGTTGAGCTTGGAGTTGACAGTCGCTGTATTAGTCAGTTCGAGACCTGGATCCGAGGTATGTGTACATGTTTAGTTGTAGCTCTGTAGATAAGTAGATTGTATAACTGTAGCACCTCATCTGTATAACTCTAAACCATTGGTAACTATCCGTGTAACTAGTGCTAAACTCCTTTGTAACCATTAGACCACATCTACCTGTATTAGAGTTAACATACGGATCAATAAACCCGGCTCAGCAGAAGTAATCGAACTGTTTGGATCTCTCTCTATACTAAGATACATATAGACGATAAGATACCAAACTACCACTAGACCTCAAATATTACACCATGACAATTATATTCTGTGAGTATAATACTTTGACTCCCTCCACAAGAACTCATCCACGTTACCACTACCTAATCTCTAGACTACGTGCAAATGCTACGACCATACCAAGTTGCAGGTCATTTTACATTCATGTAATTATGCAAGAACAGGAAATTCACACTTTTGGACTAAAAAGCGGAAACGGTTCCAAAAATTAATAATCATAAAACTGCATATGACAAAAGAGTTATGGATCAAGCTTTCTTCTTATATTATATGTTTAAAACTATTCAGACCGGGCGGGAGGGGGGCGTGTACCCAGGCCAAATTTCATCACAGATAGCGTCTGAACGGCTTGCGCTAGAACCATAAAACTCGGTGACTTTTCCTTAAATGTATCTGGCAACAATTTCATATTAATGACATTAATTAATAAATTTTCATATTGCCATTGCAACGAGTTTCTGACAGCCAGTTGTTGGAAACCTTAGTAATTTTGGTTTTAACATTAAAATTGTCAACATTTTGTGTATAAATACACGTCCTTTTAAACATTTATTACTTCCTATATATTTATATGCAATTTATAATTTAAGCTAATTTGATGACTACATTGGTCAAAATCCAAGATAGTGGACCATAGCTTCCCAGTTGTACCGACACTTCCTCCCACCCTTAAGACAGAGTATCGGCAGTCGCTAGACTCGCTCTTCGGACAATCTGAACAACTTACTAACGTTGTAAAACATCCCCCATATGACACGTTTGATAAACAATTCATAGCCCTTGATAACACTATCGCTCCATTCTTCGTTAATAATTCTTGTGTTCTACAATGTTATTGTCGATTTTAGCCATTTGCCTGTGATTTTTAACGTGTTCTCAAATTTTATCTATAACATCGCTGACTAAAATAATATATGTATATGCGATAAATAAGTTGATCGTTTACATTTTAGTATATATTTGTAGTAATGTGAAGACCTGCCTTTGTTTGTAAACAAGCCTGAAAATTCGGCCTTCGGGCTGAAACTGGGCTGTATGTTTAGAGAATAGAATAAACCATTCTACTACGACACCTGATATCCGTATATAATTGATTGATTGATGACCATAAACATGATACTCAGCTTGATACTCATAAAAGGGCATAAAAAAAGTGAAAAGGAAATGTCAAAAAATGCAATTTTCACCTATTTGTCGACAAAAACTTTACTTAAAATTAGATATTTAAATTGTCATCACACACACATGTATACCTTTTCTTCGAAAAATTTACATATCAGGGATTTTGAATAATAAATTTAACGTAAGAAAATATTAAAAGTATTTATTTCAATTTTTACAAAATTTTCTCTTTTCATACTATATGCTTATTTTCGAATGATATACCGTACAGTAAGCATCGAAAGTGCTATTTGATACATCGTGTGGCTTTTTACAATGCTTAACAATTGCCCTAAATAATATATGATCGCCATCAAAAGACGGCCATAGAGTAATTGATAATAATTTGAAATCATGTCATAACGCAACGTACGAAATTAGTTTGGGCACATTGTTGAGACAGACGGCTAAACCATTCCAAGGTCAGAGTTTACATATGGTATCCTGCATCCTGCAACACTTTGGTACATCCTAATCTTTGAATAGTCAATTTTAAGTTTATCTGAAAAATGTAGCAAACTCTTACTATTGTCTACATATCACTTAAGGAACTGCTCACGTAATAATAGATAAAAGGACTGGAATCATCATAATGTGAATGGAAACCAAACTGAATACAAAAATGTGAAATATATTTTGGACGATTCCACACACACACACACACACACACACACACACACAAACACTCGTGCGTCACACACTTTGATCTAAACAATTGTCGAACAGACTTGAATAAAGAAAAGCAGAATATATATTTTTTAGAAATTACCACACACATACACAACCACACACAAACACACACACACAAACACAGACACACACACACAAACAAACAAACAAACACACACACACACACAAACACGCACACGCACACGCTCACACACACACACACACACACACACACAAACACAAACACAGGCACGCACACACCCACACGTGCACACACACACGCAAACACACACATACACAAACACACACACACAAACACACACACAACTTACACAAACACACCACTAACACAGACAACCTACTTTGATCAGAAGAATCGTCCTCGTTGTTATCGCTGGGGAGACTTGAATCATCAGACTCGGAATCGGAGGTGGAACCGTCTAATACAAAATACAGAAACTTAAAATAGATTTTTGAAGACATTTATATTCCACACACACACACACACACACACACACACACGCGCGCGCACACGCGCACACACGACCTTTTAGACCTTTATCTAATCTTGAATTTACACTGACTGCCGTTGCCGCTTTAAAACTGTTAAAGGAGAGAGGTCAGTGGTCGCAATATCGCATAGATACAAATTAACACTGTATCCAACAAACAGTACTTTCGAAACTTACAGTATGTCCAGCCCTGATCTATTCCGCAGTGGATTATTGCAACATGTTTTTAAAATGCTGTCACTGAAGGTGTTTTCTTACATTTGATCTGAGGAATCGTCCTTGTTATAATCATTGGAAGGACTTGAATCATTAGACTTGGAATCGGTGGTGAGCCGCAAAGTCTTAGAGTCTAAATCGCTTGCCAGTGACTGTTTACCCTATTTGACATTCCCTTTATATATAACATGTTATAAAACACTTTTCGATTTTGTATGGTATCTGACATACATCACTTGGCAGTTTTAAATATTTATAGTACAATATAATATTCAGCTTAATACTCTTCCTGCGAGCACCCGTCAATAAAGTCATATGTAAAGCTGAAATGCTACATGTATTTTGAAAGTTACTGAGGTAACTTATTCTACATGATACAATGAATTTTTTTCAATAAAATTGTTTCTTGCATAAAGTACAGTGGCTGTACCTTGACCGACGCAGGTAGTGACGAGACAGCAACATATGATTCCGACGATACAGAGCAGACGAAAAACAGACATTTTCCTCGGCTTCCGTCCGTCGGAATTAACCAGCAAAAACATTGAGAAGAGCAGAACACAACCGCACACCCCTGGACAGAAAAGAATGCGCCGGATGCCTCGATGTACACTGCACACTTGTATGGTTATACGAACACTTAACACACAAAAAATATCACACGAAACTTAGAAAACAATATAAACTGAAATGCATTTAAATGATCACAGTCCGACTTCCACCACTGTCTCAAGCACACATTAGGAAAAAAATACAAAAGACAAGGCATGTAGGTACAATATCATCCACTGCCAGACTTCTAATACCATTGTCATGCACGTCACTAGATGCGTCACTAGATGCGTCACTTGAAGGGTCAAACCATTGCAAAATGGGTACGAAGGATTTTCATTAAAGTGAGAACAGAGTGAGTTATTGACATCGTTTCAACTATGTACTACAATATAAACTTCAAAATCTGTAAACAAACCCTAGTGTAGCAAGCATGATGTTCATAACAAACATCTTCCTTTTACATTCAGACCTTTTTTTACTTAAAACCCCCTCCCCTTGGTACGGTATTTATGTGCCCCACCTGTTGCTATGAGTCAAAACAAATAGACAAAGACACTGTGTCACTAAGTAACGGTAACACGTTCATTCCCTGCCTCCTTTTTAAGTGACTGCATTTGGTCGAGTAATGATACATAATTACATTTGCAGGCATGTCACTTTCTGATTGAATTTGAAATATTGATGAGCAGGGCAACTCCGGACAATGGATGGAAATTCCGCTAGATCACACGTACACGTAGCCTCTACCAGGCTTCGGGGGGCGGCTGGAAAGAGTGGAAATCGGCCAAATAGAGAGATAACATGTCAGGGGAGTTAGTCCGCGGTGAGAGAACAGTTTGCCGCCCGTCTTCTCTAGATGTATACACACATGGGCGCGGCTCCCCTCGACGTGCTGGTTGGTTAATTGCTTAAATGATCTTCTGCGCTGAGATAGTTTTTGTTGGAATAATGAGGGGATTGAATGAATAGCAAAGTTCTTTTAATAACAACCATTTATTTTTCACTAGCCGACGTTTCGATGACCGTCTGTCATCTTCATCAGGGCAATTCTGACTGGGTTACTCTGCACTGACACTAGATGTTACTTGGTGCATAGCACTAAAGGTGTTACATAGTTCATAGTGCACTTAAGCTAGTCTTTTCTGTTTACCATACATTCCGGAACGTAGTGTAATTGTGACATACATACTAGGCATTGTTACATCACAGGGAAATATGCGGTTACAAAATGTAAAGTGTTTCTATATACAAGATTTGTTAACTGACAATACTGAGCTATCACAGTCCCAAATAGAAATTATTAAAAGTCTTGTTACATATATGTATTGTTAGGAAAAATAATAGTCACAAACAATAAGAAAACCAATGTCAATTATTAAGAATGTGATCCCAAACATGACTAAGTTTAATCCAGTCAGAATTGCCCTGATGAAGATGACAGACGGTCATCGAAACGTCGGCTCGTAAAAAACAAATGGTTGTGATAAAAAGAACTTTGCTATTCAGTCGTCTACCAACCTGATGAAATTATTTACGGAAATAAGGGGATTACTTTTATACCGTTTGATCGTATAGCGACTCCGCACAGGCTTCGGGTGTCTCTGTTTTCTCCCCTGGCATGTTACCTCTCCATTTGGCCGCTTTCCACTCTTTCGCCTCTTTCCAGCCGCCTCCCGAAGCCTGGTAGAGGCTAACGTACACGTACAGTTTGTGTTAGCTAGACTACAGTTACATTTAGGTTACGTTCGTAGAATCTTACTAGTATTTCTCTTGCCGTAGTAGACCGGCCGGTTCAGTCGTATAAGCGGCGTTTCGTTCCAAAACAAGGCGTCTGTCACACCGTTCCGTCTGGCCTTTGTCACTTCTTATTCCAAGACCATATTTACCTGTACCGTTACACCTGTCAACTGGCAACATATCCCATCAGCCTTTGTGTGAATCTCTCTATTCGTGGTGTGGTGAAGACATATTGTTTCCCTCATGTTTCTCCTTCTTCTCCTTCCCCTGCCATTTCTTCAAAAAGGGATTCAACTCTGGCATTTTTGGACCAGATAACATGGATTTTGGCAGAGTGGGCAAATACTCCCAGACGTTTTTTTCCCCTTTTTGGATACAGGCCTTGGGTTTTTAATTTTTTTCTACTTCTTTCCCTGTCATGCTGAATTTGCTCCAAAGCAATTGTCGGCCTTTCTAGGTCCATCTTTTTCCCAACAAGGTGCAGCTAAAGGGTTACCCATAGTACCACTAACCTTGGAGCATGAGTGCTCGTGGCAGTCATATGGCATTATTAACTGCAGTATTTGCTTAAACCGCTAGAGTGCTCTGGCTATCCTACCTTCTCCACCTCCTTTTCTAGCTCCTCACCCCAACATTATACCTTATACTCTCTTTCACAGAAAAAAAAGTGAAATGCTGCCAAAATAACAGACATGAACGCTCTTGCATCCCCGGAAATTGTCAATCATTTTCTGTTTTGTCATAAGGCTATGTTGATTTGATTATATGGATGACATCCACGCGCACATGAATTTTCGGCCGTTTCAAAAAAAAGTTTTCAACCATACTGTAAATCGTACAAAAAAGTTGCAAAATGAGCAAATATATACCGTAAGTTGCAGAAATAAATATTTGACAACGATACCAATGCCGTAGAATGCCAAAATCAAACAAAAAAGACGAAAATGTAAAGAAATGAATTTGAAGAGTAGAACGATACTCTGTGCCCTTTGTTCAACCTTCATGTCCACGTAGATTTCATTATAATGAAAGCAACTTTTTTTTTTCGCAAAACTTTTTTTTTATTCGCACGCTCGCATCAGTTTTGGGGTTCCCAGAGGATGTCATCCATATAATCAAATCAACATGGCCTAGGTGCAAAATTGCACTTTGGCAAAAAGTTGATGTGCAAAATTATAATTAGTCAACAATTTTACCGTGTGCTAATCTTCTTAGCCTACCACGGCATACAGGAGTTCATCATATATTAAGAATAAGAGATGAAACCTGAACAATGCCCAAAACGTATTTAATTGCCAATTACTCAACAGCAAATTATACATAAAGACTGCTGAATGCCTATTTTAACAGAATGAAGATACTGATATCTCTGGCTGAGAGACATGACTCTAGACATCATTACATGTAATGATGGGCAGTCTTTGCGCCTTACGGAAAAGCGCATGCAGGCCCTCATGAAAACATTTGCTTGTTTGGTGCTACCATTCACACGAGGCATGTCACTATTTGCACTTCTTAGTAATTACGCTAGGTGACGCTATTTCATATGGTGGTAACGACAACATCAGAGGACAAAATCAACACGACATGCCAAGTTGTACGTGCGAATATCAAAGAACTATTTTGAATCATCTCCTCAAGTCTGTTCGTCTATCCGAAACTCTGTCCTCTCTTCACGAACGACCGAGACGCCTGGTTTGTAATTTCGTTCGGTCTCTACGGGATCATTCTCTCCTGCCAGAAACGTCTTCCTACAACACTGGCAGATGAGAGACTGAAACGCCGAGCGGAACTGGGTGTGGAAGGCGGCATAAACGATCGGGTTGACGGTTGAGTTCAGCCACAGCAGCCAGAAGGCTACCTCGTACAGCTCGTCTCCTATGCAGGACGAGCAGAGAGTTCGGATGAGGGTGAAGATTGTAAAAGGACTCCAGCAGATAGCGAACACGACCACCACGATGGCAAGAGTTTTGGCGACGCGAAGCTCCCGTCCCATGTGGTCAAAGGACGGCTTCTTCCGGGCACGCAAAGGCCTGTGGGAAGTGGCACCTGTGGACGAGCTGCTGCTGACCAAGGTCGTCATTGTCGTCATTTCCGGTGCAAGGGACGACGGGATTTCGTCAGGATTGGAGGACGCCCTCCCACCCCTTTTTCTCAGAGAAGTTTGGAAGGCTCTGTACTCTTCCTTTCTCTCCTGCTTCGCCTTGGCTCTCTGGCGGATCTCCTTGTAGACTTTGTAGTAGAAGAAAGACACGCTGACGAAAGGGGTGAAAAATTCCACCAGGGAGGCTGTGAAGGTGAAGGGGAAGTTGTCGTGGAAGGGTACGAAGCATTTCCCGGGAGGGATGAGTCTCCTTCCGGCGGCGTGCTCCCAACTCACGATGGCGGGACCGTACAGCAGAAAGGCTATGATCCACACAAGGCCCATCTGGAAATACGTGGTGTTCTTTGAGTTGTGGAGCTTGTACTTGACAGCCTGGGGGAGGACGAATTACATCAGTAATACACATGGATAGTTTGCTTCATTCCCTGATTTCTGTATGGTCAATAAGATTTTTAAGCTCCTTGGTATGATTAAAGATTTTGCTTGAAAACATATGAAGTAAAGCGTCTTTTTCACAACATAAACATTTTGCCGATAACAATGGTGACTGACACCGTCACCCTGTTTTTAATGGAGTGATCGGGACGGAAGTATTGCTTTGGGAGGCGCTTGTTTGGGGAGAGTTTACATGTTTGAGTGTAGGAAGTAATTATATCCAATGACATTACATGCCCTTCACAGCTCCAAAACAGTCTCGAAAACCCACACACTTCTCGAAACTCTGAAATCTCTGATTATGTTTACCGAAGGAAAACATATTGTTTTTGCTCAGTTTCTTCTTCTTCTCCAAACAGTGACCTCTGACCTGACCAATGCCACGATTTGTTGACGCCTGTCACCATAGTGACTGGTGTTGGGTTGCATAATGTTGCAATTTCATGATCTGCTCTGCTCCTGTCACCATATACTAGTAGTACATGTATGTGAATGTGTTTGAGAAAGAATTAACAGAGCAGATCATGCCAGAAGGTAAACATTATGGATTTGCTTTGCAAATGTTTCTTCTCTAGTTTATTCTTGTTCCTGTAGATCAATGACCTTTTCAGAAAGTCACATAGAAGACTGCGTGCTACTAATAAGGATTTAAGGTATATTTTACCTGAGTGACGCAGCGGTAGCGGTCCAGGCTGATCGCCATGATGTTGAGAGTTGACGCCGAGCAGAAACAGTAGTCTAACGCCAACCACGTCACGCACATGGAGTGCCCCAGCGGCCAGACCCCGGTCAGAATGTACGGCGCGTAGAGGGGCATGGCCAGCAGCCCGATCATCAGGTCAGCCACGGCCAGGTTCATCAGGAAATAGTTACTGGTGGTCTGGAGGGTCTTGGTCTGCCAGAAGGCCACGATGACCAGCAGGTTCCCGAACACGGTCATCAGGATGACCACCGTGATGAGGAGAGCCAAGATGGCGGTCACGGCGTCGGAAAATGGCGGCTGGTGCTGTGTCATGGCGGCGGTGATGTTGTTGTTCCCGTTGGCTGTCGTCAGGCATGTTGCGTTGGTCGGCAGGCAGCTAGCGGCTGCCGAGGACAGGAAAGAATCTAAAGCGCTGTCCGTCGCTGTCCAGTCTAAAGCTGTCACATTTGAAAGTTGCGAAGCCGACATCTTCTCATATGCCACAGACGCCATTGTCGTCGCCTTTCTTGTGAAGACTCAGTGACTGTTCGTATGCAAAGAGAGCTATTCCACAAATCTGCAATGAAGAAAGAATAATGAGTCATATTTTGCTGCCTGCTGGCGATTGCATGATTTTAGCGTCTGCGAAGAATGTCTTGACGACCATTCACGTTGTGAAACATATTGGCACCCCTGGGCGGTCTTCGTCAAGCACATTCATTTTACACCGCCACTTATTTCTATACCGTTATTGTGAACAGGCCAGGGTTCTATGGTACAATGCTACCTACCATTTCTCCGCTACAGGTCTTAGGCCACACCAAGTAAATTTTATGGATGACGTCCGCGCGCGCATTGATTTTGGCCTGTTCCTAGAAAAAACAAACAAGAAATTCCGCTTCCTGTAACTATGACCAAAGAGTCACGACAGTGCTGCAAATAGGTTTGTACGGACCAAAGCATCAAGCAAGGAAATCATGACTTCCATTAGGAATTCAGTTTGGTACATGCTGCCACATTTGAAGAAAGTTGCTGACCGCTCCATCTATCTCCCCAAACTCACAGGACGACAACTGCTGTTCCACCTGATTTATTGCTGTTTTGATGATGAATAAAAGACTTCTTGCTTGTTACACTGTGTCACCTCATTCAATTTGTGTCCTAACATTTGTCGTCTTTTAGTATATTTCTAATCTAGGCATCTTGTTTTTTAGGGCCCTTCTTGTTTTTTTTGTCGCCCTCTCGCATTAGATTTAGGGTGTCCAAAGGACGTCATCCATAAAATTTACTTGGTGTGGCCTTACAGAGACGGGGCCGTTTTGAGGCGTGGTGTTACGTGCAGGGAATGTGCGCTTTCGCCATTAGCGTGATTTCACATGCTGGTACCTCACGCAGGGATAAACTCAGAACTTACCGTAATAGGTGAACGCCGCAGAAATTGGCAATATATTTTTCTCACACAACACCATTTATGAAATGCAATAAGTTTTAACCAAGATAAGTCTAATGTCTCTCACAGGAAATACTGTTTCATGCATCTATATAATAAGAGTAGAGAAACAGCGGGCGATTTAGTCAGTGAGATTAAATTGCAAGCCTGTAGGTTTAAAATCTGTACATATGTTTCCGTTCACAGTACACATTCTCACTTAAAATCCCCAGCTACAAAGAAAATCCAAGCCATAAAGTAATAAAAAGAAATCTCAGCAAGAACGTAAGGAATGAAATCCCAAATATTGTATCACCCGGAAGAATTATACCAAATAAATCAAGTATAATGATAAATGCTCTGAATTTTCAGAGAATTTATTCAGTTGTTTGATTTATTTTGTAATGGTAATACGTTATGCCCTACCTGGGTGTCTATACTTCATAGACGTGAGAAAAAAAGATTTGGTGAAGATACGCGATTTGCAGCGGTGATAAAATTGAGCTATCTACACCATGAGGTTTTGTACCATTTATAAGGAACATTTTGCTACAAAGGCAGTAAAATACACGGCAAGAAAAGGGTATTTCACGCATACGTAAATAGTGCCTAGATATGACGTCTTTCCCGTATTTATACACCTCTTAAACGTGTACGTAAATCTGGTTATTACGCTCTCTTTCAGTAGATACGAATAGGTTCTCCATTTGCCTTTCAGCCTTAAAGGCATTGTAAATGTACTTGCTGTAGTGCAAAGTTCTGCTATACGTATCCTACCTTACGTTTCTTTGAAAGTGCCTTGAATATTCTTCCGCCTGCCCAGAGAAAGCTTTTAAGACATGGCTAACTTTTCGTTCGGAGGCTTTTAAGGGAACTTAAACGTAGTCTCCTCATCTTCCATCTCCTGTTGAGCCATCCCAGGCTCACTTGGTCTTTGGTCTACCTTGAAGGTGGATTCAGTAATGGATCTTGATAAGCGGAGCCCCCCGGGTGACAATTTTCCCGCGATTGCTAGCTTTAAGCACTAACTAACCGTTACAGCCGTAAGCTTTACATTTAGGCTGTTGCAATTTGTCCGGAAGATTATATGAAGTTTTTCTGGGCGCGGCTCGCAGGTCTGGTCATACGTACACATTTGTATCTGTATACCCGGTACAACCGCCTTTCGGCGTAACTCACAAATAAGGTACTGCGGCAGCTGGCTATATTACACCGATCGACTTGTTACACCTAACCCTTGAACATCTAACTCTAGATCTAGACATTGTTTAAAGCTATCTAATGACAATGCCCCTATTGTACTTGGTGACAGTGAGTTCCACTCTGCAATAGTTCTAGGAAAGAATGGATTCTTGAACACCTCAATCCTTGGTTGATAACTCTGGTACTGAAGACATGGCTATTTCTCGTTCTCTTCGAATTCTGGGCTGCTATTAGGAACTTAGTAGTTGGTACGTCCACCAGTTTATTAGTCATTTTGTACATCCTGTATCTGTATCTGTATAGCCACATGAAGTGAAGTCTAAATTCTCAATGAATATGGCCTCCACCAGACTTCAGGAAGCGGCTGCAAATAGTAGAAATCCATTAATTATGCAAACTAGGTCTTCATTTAGACGGACAAACTCTACTGAAAACATAACCTTCTTGGCGAAGGTAAAAAGGTAACGATCTTCCCCCATCAACATCTGCTTGGAGAGTAGCTATCCCTCTCTCTATGGCATGTTATTCCACCCTCCCCCCTCTGTACAGTTCCGACCACCTGTTGTGAACATCGTTATATCATCAGCTAAAAGCCGCCCACCACTCACCACGGGTGATTGCTGGCACTGTTTTACGTGAATAGGCCATCGCTGAGTAACACATTTCTCCGTGTCGGAGGTTTCTCACCTGGGAAATAAAGATAAAACTACATCGATGGTTACCTGCGCCTTTTAGGAAAGGTCAAAACGCCTGTGAGAACCGAACTGAAGCCCACAATAGCCACACTGAAACAATTGCCCTAAGTTAGTGGTGTAGGAAACTGATATCTATATATATACCCGCTGTTTGTAGCGCACTGTTATTTAGGCCATGTTGATTTGATTATATGGATGACATCCTCTGGGAACCCAAAACCGATGCGAGCGTGCGAATAAAAAAAGTTTGGCAAAAAAAAGTTAATTGTTTTCATTATTGTAGAAATCTACGTGGTCATGAAGGTTGAACAAATAGCACAGAGTATGGCGAATAATCTAGTCTTTAAATTCATTTTCGTCTTTTTCGTTTGATTTTGGCATTCTACGACGTTGGTATCGTTTTCCTATGTTTTTTTTCCAACTTACGGTATATATTAGCTCATTTTGCAACTGTTTTATACGATTTACAGTATGGTTGAAAACTTTTTTTGGAAACGGTCGAAAATTCATGAGCGCGCGGATGTCATTCATATAATCAAATCAACATGGCCTAAGTTACAGCGCTAGGCTGATGGACAATAACAACCCGGTAAAATGAACGCTGGAAACACCGAGAGGACTGAGTAGATGAGCCCCGGCGGCGCTACGGTCGTGCCTGGCGGCCAGTCGTTAGGATCTCCATCGGTAATATCTCTATAACGTGAACTCCGTGACATTTACACAAGTTTGGTGAAAAACATGATCATTCATCATGTAGAGTACTGACCGATGTAATATTGTACTGGTTTTCTGCGGTACAGGTTGTTGACTTGCACTGTATACAAATATGTATGTAGGAGAAACTTGAATAGCCAAGTGCACTGTTAGATAAATGTAACTGCGGAAATTCGTTGAGTGATCTGACATTTACTTAGTCGCTCATCACTCTCTCAACGGCCACAGACTTTAGTGAAAAGGGTTGACTCTATGAGATATATGTGAGTACTACACAGTCGAGAATGTGTATGTAAATATTGTACGTTTGGGGATGTATCTATAGCAGTGACACCTCAGAATTGTCCTCAGGAAGGTGACAGACGGTCACCGAAACGTCGGCTGAATAAAAGACTTGGTTGTGTAAAAAGAAACTATTTTCTCAGTGACTTACCAACCTGATGAAACTATTCACGGACGAAGAAAATGTACTACAGCAATGCGTTACTATATTTGGGCATGAGTCATCAGAATGGCATGCAGAGCAAGCAACCAATAGGCAGGCAGCTTTCCTCTATTCTTCTTGCTGATTGGCTGTTGGAATTTGATTGGGTTAACTCAATGCAACTCCTGTACAAAGCCATGCCACGTTGACATTATGAACTACATTAAAGTGTTTTGGTAGGTATATCAGTGCTGCAGTGTAATGTGAACCAGTCAGAATTACCCCGAGGAAGGTGACAGACGGTCACCGAAGCGTCGGCTGAATAAAACACTAGGTTGCGTAAAAAGAGTCTCTTTACTTAGTGACTTACCAACCTGATGGAACTATTCACGCACGGAGAAAATGTACTACAGCAGTGCGTTACTATATTTGGGCATGAGTCATCAGAATGGCATGCAGAGCAAGCAATAGGCATGCAGCTTTCCTCTATTCTTCTTTCTTATTGGCTGTTGGAATTTGATTGGGAAAACTCAATTAAAACCTGTACAAAGCCATGCCATGTTGACATTACGAACTGAATTGAAGTGTTTTGGTAGGTATGTCAGTACTGCAGTGCAATGTAAACCAGTCAGAATTGCCCTGAGGAAGGTGACAGACGGTCACAGAAACGTCGGCTGAATAAAAGACTCGGTTGTGTAAAAAGAGTCTCTTTACTTAGTGACTTACCAACCTAATGAAACTAACTATTCACGTGCGGAGACTGTATATAGTAGAGCGGATTGAATCCTCAGGCTGCCCGACATCTACCACATAACAGTCACCCCTCAGTAAGACATCTGGAGCCGCATAGTCCCCGTTTAGACGTCATTTAGCCTCTGTACACTTGAAGAAGCCTATAGGGCGAAACCGGTTGTGACAGGTTGAATAAAAAACTATGCGGCTCCAGATGTCTTACAGAAGGACGACTGCGGTGTGAAAGATGTCAGTTAGCTTGTGGAATACAGAGTTCTAGCCAGGATTTTTTTTCATAGCATAGGGTTCAGGTACAGAAGAGCAACTTTCGTGGCGCAAATCGCGCATCGAGCCGAAATATTTTGAAACTTATGACCCCCTGAGACACTATTTCTTGTTAAATGAGGAACAGATTTTGTGAAGTTAAGGTTTTCCCTTTGCTATAGCTTCATTCTAAAGTTATATTGTCATCTTTTTTGCAAGATTTATGAAGGTTCTCCCTCCAAAAATACCCCTATGCTGGTTGAAAGACAGCATAGGGTTCAAAATTATAGCACAGGGGGCCCCTATACTAAAAAGGCCTGGTTAGAACTCTGGAATGAACCTACTCTACAATATCACCT